TTATAAAAGCAATAAGCCCCGTGAAGCCGTGGTTTACAGTGAATTTATAACAGCTAAGGGGGTTGTGCACTCTGCTTAGCGTCGTACCTAACAACGCCCGTTAGCCGTTATAAATTCACTGTAAACCACGGCTTCCTGGGGCTTATTGCTTTATTTTGTCATTAATTACTCACCCTGATGTCGTTCTAAACCCGTAAGACCTCCAGTCATTTTCGGAACACAAATTAAGATATTTTTGATGCATTTTGAGAGCTCTCTGACCCTCCATAGACAGCAATGTAAGTAACACGATCTTAAGTGAATTATTCATTCCAGTGTGTTTCGCTTTAAACGCGCTGTGTGAAGTACAGACTGAACGGATTGTTAATACATCCCACCGCTGTATGGCCAGATGAGACGCAAACTACGTTTTCTCGACTGGATAACCAGTCTCGCTAGTAAAGTTTTGATGGATGAAGACTGCAATCAAGTAAGACGATTGCGGTGGCGTACAGGAGTCGTACAGCACAGTAAGCACGCGTGAGTCCGTTATAATAATGCGTGTATGAGCTGGGCCGAATTTACCTCTTTTCGTGACATAGGCAAAACTAATTTTTGGGTCCCCCTTCCCTATTAATATAATAGGCCTAATATTACCACCCAAGCAAACAAAACTATTTTCTTAATCAGTGGAAACGTTACAGTGTATTCTATCGCAATAAGTCAATAAAAATCGAATGTATAGCTAATTTGTTTGAGAACTCAGAAAGACCATTAATAGGTGCGGCGTACCACATCGGGAGTTATTGCTCTAATAATTTTAACGGCCAGGAGTCACAACCACACATCAAATATTGTTCAGATGATTTGTTTCAAGACATTTGACATGTTTCCGTCCTGAAATGTGTTGAACTTTTTTTACGCACCTCATCCCAAACCTTCCATTGCAAATTCCAAAACGTCATTTTAGAGCTAATAACAGCGGCTTGAGCCATTGATATGCAGGCTAATGCAGTTATTAATGCAGTCTAATGCAGTTATTAGAGAGAGATATTAAGCGTGTATGAATACCTGTGTCTGTGCGTCTCTCAGTAGTGTTCAGCAGCAGCGTCTACTAGTACTAATAGCGAATCTTTAAGAATATTTAAGTAATCTTTAAGTTAAACTGCTTCAAGAACCTCCCTACTGAGAAATGTCATGTAGCTTTTCAGCTGCGAAAATATTTTATTAATAAATTCGCGGGGCGGCATTGACGACAAGTTTCTGTCCGCGTCTCCGCGTGTGTGCGCGAGTGCGTGTGTGTGCGTCTATGAGAGAGAACCGGAGAAAGTGTGATTTCCGTACATAAAAAAGGTGGAAGACATGGAAATAGTTTGTAATTTTTTACCCTATTGTTTGTTATATTTATTTGCTCAATGTCTTCTGAGGTTTTGGTTCTTTTATTGTTGTAGATAGCTCATAGTATAACAAAATATTATATATCTCTTCACGTGCCTAGAATGCCAATGCGTAAATCCGGCCCTGTGTATGAGTGCTCTTGACGCACTGATCGCACATTGTAGGCTATTTATGCACAGGCACAGACATTTCCATACATTCATGTTGTTTCCACACACATTCACGATAATGTTTTGATTTGTCATGTTTATGTTGCTGTGTTTAGTTATACGGAATGGATCGTGTAATGTAGTAGATCTATGCAGTCAGCAGGCGGTTGGTTTAGGTTTTTTTGGCATCTCCATGTGGTCCTGTTCGGTATCGCAACTTGGCTTCTCTAAAATGTAAAACAGCTCTTTGCTGTTGCACTGTACACATACTAAAATTCTGATTTTTTTTTTCTTTCATATGTGCTTATATGGGCTCCTTATATCATTTGGTTCTTTGGTGTCCTTTTTTGGAAAGGGACGTGATTAATCAGATTAAAAGTTTTAATCGATTGACAGCCCTAATAGGGATATAAAATGTCAATTTAATTTCAGTGAAATATATTCATACATATTAATGAAATGTTAAATTATAAATATTATACCTAATAACAGTATAATATGTATATACTGTATATACAATATTATAATACAATAATCATAATAATATGTATATATTTAATGTCATAACATAATATATAATATACAAAAAATAAGAACAATAATATCCTTAAATATTATGTAATTTTAAGATATTACATTCATAATATATTTTATTAATATAAGTAAATATATAGGGATATAAAATATAACATTTAAATTTAATTTCAATTAAATATATTCATATATATTAAGGAAATGTTAAATTATGAATATACCTAATAAGCGTATAATATGTATTGTATGTATATATTATAATAGAATAATTATAATAATATGTACATATTATAATATAGTGCTGTTAAACGATTAGGCCTAATCGCATCCAAAATAAAAGTTTTTGTTTACATAATGTGTGTGTACTGTGTATCTTTATTATGTATATATAAAAACACACACATACCGTATATATTTTGAAAATATTTACATGTATTTACATATATATATATTTATATTCATATAATTTATATTATATATACATATATTTAATATATAAACATAACATATTTTTCTTAAATATATACGTGTAAGTGTGTGCATTTATATATACATAAATATACACATACACAAACATATATTATGCAAACAAAAACTTTTATTTTGGATGCGAGTAATCGTTTGACAGCACAATTATAATACAATATTAACATTAATATCATAATATTGTTATGACTTGGACAAATATTGGGTCAAAAGTGCCGTTTTATGAAACCATAGAATTAATAGCCCAAAATGATCTTTAATGTCACAATATTTCAAAAGCAAATATTGGGTTAAAGGTGCAGTATTATGAAATCATACATTATGGAATTAATATTAGGCTAATATCACAACATTATGTATAAATTTTACACCAAGTATAAGTTGATGTATATAAAACAGAACATAGGCCCAGTGTTGGGGAAAGTTACTTTTAAAAGTAATACATTACAATATTGCGTTACTCCATAAAAAAGTAACTAATTACGTTACTTCGTTACTTTTTATGGAAAGTAATGTGTTACGTTACTT